GTGCCAGTGTTTGCTTAGAGAATGCAGTTGTTATATTTCAAGCGCTTATTAGTAATCAGTTTTATTAAATGTATGCAAAACAGGTGAACACGAATCGGTGACCGCATTGAATGAAGAGACGAATCAAGACATTAAATATTTCAACAAATTATCGCAAAAAGAAGAGGTTTTCGATGGCGTCGATAATGTGAGCGAATCGTGTGAATCAAACACTATAGCCATCAGACCCTTAACTCCCGCCTATAAACCGCACGAAGAAGTACCCAAAGAAGACCCGCTTGGATTCCTCTTAGTTCCGCCCGGATTTGTCTCCACTTTAGCTAATAATCATATTTCTAATACAAATTACAATAGGATTGAAAGGACAAGTTATTCGGCATGAAATCTGTATTCATAGACTATAGTAAACAACAAATAAAGTTTTATCAATTTATTTCAATATTATGTCAACTAATTATTTGCATAAACATTTTTGTCTAACTTTAAGAGTTTGTGTATTTAATAAATTGTGTGCTGTATATAGAGTGCAATAATACGGTCACAAAAATGGGGTGTAATGTAAATGTAGTTCTAATATGATATACATTGTGGTCAACCTTTGGCCCAATATTTGGTTCACTTTCTTATAGTGGAAATGTATGTCACGTTTAAATATAGACACACTTATGAGGAAACACATTGTCGTCAATGCTTTGGGCGCTATTCTGGTAGCACTTCTTGTGACAAACATTCAACACATGTATTACACATTCCTCTATATATTCCTCATATTTTCTAAACTATAATATATTCCCCAATAATTCTCCATAAAGTTATCATTCATTGAACAATATTTACATTCAATTTAATTTATAATTACCGTATATTGCAATCAAATCTACAATTATTAAAACTAATTAAATGTTTAATATGTGGTGAGAATATGACCATGCTCATTTTTGTAACTCACAATACAGTATACACTACATTCAGTGTACAATCTATTGCTCTATAAATGTGCCGCAATTGGCATCAAATGAGTGTATATTATAACTCAATCAATACATAATTGAGTTATATATGGCTTATAATGTGATCATTAAATGACAGCTTATATGCTGTGAATGACTGCAGACCTGATCCACTCATACAAACCATACAAACCATTCATTCATATATTCATCTAATTTACAGAATTGAACCTAACTTTCAATACAAGGCATCGAAAGGGAGGGCACATGTGTTCCAGTATTGAGCACACAATTGGCGCCAACACTGGGGGTGACGTCACTGTCGTATTCACTGTGCGTTTGTATGCATGAGCTGTGAATGCGATCAATGAGTGCCCCAAACGTCACGAGTGGCGGAAACGCGAGCAACAGTGGGGACACCAAATGTGTGTGCAGTGAATGTATGGCCAGAAAAGGGCGTAACTGCTCGCTAGCGAATGCAGGCGTGTGAGTGGTGTGCGTGAAGTGTAGTTACAGTGTTTGTTCGGTCGTGGTTGAGGTTGTGTGTTGACGCGTGCGCAGTGGCAGTGGTGTGTGCGCTGAGAGTGTGTTTGTGTGCCATTCTGTCGGCCATTTGTATCAACACTTGTAATACTGTTTTGTATTGAAATCAGTGCTGAAAATGGACGGCGACTGCGATCGGTCTCAGACTCAGGCCAACAGTTGCGCCGACTCTGAGCCGCCCTCCACTCCCGTCTCGACGCCCACCGCAACCGACACTCAGTCTCCGCCGCAAAACAACAACAACAACGCCGTGAAGCCGGAGAAGAGCGCCCAGTCGTCGACCGCCACCGCCAACACGTCCTCCACTTCGCAGACATCGCAAACACCGCAGACGACGGGTCCGGACGAAGACAAGATCAAAGCCATTCTCGAGCGCACAGGTATGTCGTGTGAGCCCCGGGCTGTCGGTCGCGCACAACACCACTCAACGCATGTGTTGTTTATGTTTCGTCAATAGGCTATACATTAGACGTGACGACTGGTCAACGCAAATACGGCGGACCGCCGCCCGACTGGACAGACCCTCCGCCTCCTCCCGGCTGTGAGATATTTGTGGGCAAACTTCCCAAAGAGATATACGAAGAAGAGTTGATCCCATTGTTTGAAAAAGTGGGCAAAATATGGGACTTGAGATTAATGATGGATCCCATCAGTGGTCTCTCCAGAGGCTATGCTTTTGTCACATATTGTACTAAAGATGACGCACAAAGTGCTGTCCAAGAAGTGAGAACCCATTGAATGCATGTCTAACTTGTTTACTAATGCAATGTTTGTGTTGCCTGTTGTGGAGCAGTACGACGGATATGAGATACGGAAAAGCAAGGCCTTGAAAGTGAACGTTTCGGTGCCAAACCTCAGGCTATTTGTAGGAAATATACCAAAAAGTAAAAGTAAAGAAGAAATTTTTCAAGAGTTCACAAAACTCGCCGGTATTTACTCTTATACTCAGTTGTTGTGGTGATGTTGTAATATGTTTGGTATGTGTTTAGGAGGCCTTTCGGAAGTAATAGTGTACAGTTCGCCGGACGATCGTAAGCGGAACCGAGGGTTTTGTTTTTTAGAGTACGAGTCCCATAAGTCGGCCTCTTTGGCCAAACGCAAGTTGAGTACTGCGCGCACCAAAGTATGGGGATGTGATATACTCGTCGATTGGGCCGACCCTCAGGAGGAACCCGACGAGGAAACCATGTCCAAAGTTAAAGTGCTTTACGTCCGTAACCTCACCACTGATGTCACTGAAGAACAACTCAAACAACTCTTCGAAGAGTTCGGTTCCATAGAGAGAGTGAAGAAAATCAAAGATTACGCTTTCGTTCACTTCGAGGACAGAAACTTAGCGTTGAAAGCGATGAACGGACTCAACGGTCGCGATGTCGGCGGCGCTCACATTGAGGTCTCGCTCGCAAAACCCCCCTCTGATCGCAAAAAGAAGGAGGAGGTGCTCAGGAATAGGGAGAGACGTGTTATGCTTATGATGCAACAGAGGGCTATGTATGACACCTGTCACCCATCCATCCATTGTATGATTTAATTGTGTGCTAATTGATTGTCTGATAGGATTGTTGGGGCGCCACGTGGACCGCCAGCACTGCCACTGCAACCGCCGCCACCTCCGCCCCCACCACTCATTCCTCAGACGCGTAACACCAGAGGCCGTAACGCACAGCCGATGGCCTCATTGCCATCTCCATCAGCCTATAGACAACTCGGAGCCCGAAATTACGGTTAGTTTCAAATTTTATAACTTTCTTTCGGATTGAATTTGTTTTGTGTTTCTTTCGGTTTTTATATCTTTTGCAATCAAAACGCTTTTTTGACCCAATTTTGCGTTTAGTCCCTGAGGTCTGATTGAATGTGTGGTTATTATGGGTTTTATGTTTGGATTATTGTATTTTGTATTTAAAATGCAAGTGTTTGTTATCTTAGACTCATTGACCAGACATTAGACACTAAGTTGAGGAACAAAACTAAGACTACTTAAGAGTGTTTTGTGATTAGTTTTTGAATTAAATGATAAAAAGAGTTGATTTGTGAAAAGAATGTAAATCTAAACGAAAATATATTCTTTGTTTATTGGGTGACTCTTCGACTCACTGCCACTGTTTGTGGTCAACCGGTAGACTACGAATGTGGTTATTATGGTTTTGATGAATACCCGGCGCCGGCGCCTCATTATGAGTATTCGCCCCATTTTAGTGGTGACGGCTATTATCACCAGAATATGCTGTCCACTCACTCTCACGCACCACCACCTCCTCTGCCATCCACACCATTCCAACCACACTCACACTCAAAGACCAGGGCTTCGCGTAATTCTTTGGTAGGTTTTCATGAGAAAACTTATAGATATTCAAAAAAACACTGAAAACTAAATCTTTTTAAACAATTCGTTTGTTTGAATCTCCGTCTCATTTGATTTTATTATACATTATATATATTTGAATATATGTTATAATATATGATAAACTTATTGATTGTTGTGTTTATAATAAAATACGATACAAATGATACAAAAACACAAATTTCTGTAAATATTATATTTGACTTAAAATATTTTATTAATTTTGCTCTTAATTTGCTTTGTATTTATTACTACTTTTGTTCCGCAAATTATTCATATAAATATTATTCACATATTTTTCAGCAGTTATTTAAATATTTTATGATTTAATTTTCTCATACATTGATATATTTTTGGCGATATATTAGATTTATTTTAATTGTATTTTGTTTTTATTGAATTGAATTTATGTTTGAATCGAGTTTTTTGTTTTCCATTATTAAAAGTAAAAATTTTGATTTGATTTTCTGCGAGTATATGTTATTTGGTTTATTGTGTGAGCTTTTCGTGAATCCAATCCATTATTAAATGACATAATGCAGTGTTAATGACAAATGATTACATGGTTTTTGGCAATTGTTTGTCTTGTAGGGGCCGCTCAGGGGTGGAATTCGTGGTACAACTGGTATGACCCCAATAGCTGGTGGTTTGGCTCTACGAGAACGGCTGCACAGTTCGGGTTCGCATCACAACAACAGGGCTCGAATTGGGGCCAATACGGCAACGGGTCTGTACCCGCACAGGCCATCGCATCCTACGGGCGCCGAAGTCTATGGCAACCAAACAATGGGAGCAAAAAATATAGGAAAACGCAGACAAATGGCTCAAAGAAGAGCTTCAAAACGTAAATTAAAGTCTAAAAGTGGAGAAAACGACTCTAAACTCAATCGCAATCAACAATCAAATGAAAGTAGTGGTGCTTTGGGAGAGCAGTGGTATAACGACCCGTTTCCCACTAATCTCGATGACAGTTGGCCTCAAACCTAACTTTTATTGATTTTTGTTTAATTCATTTATATATACATTATATGGAAAATAACTAAAGTTTTGTTTTTGACTTTTTCTTTTGTTTCATTATTATTATTATTATTTGCTTTTATTATTATATTTCGCCGAATAATTATAATTATATTATTATTATTAGTCATTATTAAGCATCACATTAATTGTTTCATTTGTTTTGCAAACTTTGCATTACTTGTCGTTCTGGCCCTCCGTTTCTCTCGATTCAAAAAAAACAAAAAAAAATTACTAAATTTAAAATGAATTGAAATTTGCTTAAAGTTTATGATTATTATTACTTATATTAACTATTATTACTTTATTTGACTTCTAATTACAAGAATTTTGTTTTTCAGTTTATCTTTTAAATATATTTTTTAGAAATATTAATATTATATTGTATTTTGTTTTCCATTTTGTCAATGGTTTTAACATACAATTGAATTTATTATTATTATTATATTATTCGATGAAATCTAAGACTAATATTTCTTTTTTGTATTTATAAAAAAGACTTGTTTTCTATGAAATGGTTAAAAATATATACATATATATTATATATACATTATTACGATTATAGCTCTTTATTATTAAAACTTGATATTTATTACAAACTTATTGTATGTATTTATACATTGATTGCCAGAACGACAGCCACTTTTGATTTAAGTCGGATTTTCTCTTTTAAATTAATGTTTTGTTTTGTTTTGAAGTTTTTTTTGTGTCATTTCATTGAACGATAACTCAAAGGTTTATATTTTTGTGCTTTGAATTTGACTGTGATTTATAAAAAAATGATAAAAGACATGGTTTTGAACACATTTTGTTTGTCTCTTTAATGCCAGTAATGTGTCTTCCAATCGATTGACATTTTACTTGTTTTTTAAATTAAAAATAATGTTTTTTAAAAATAATTAAAAATAAATAGGTAAGTTTTCTATTGAATCAGATCTTACGGTCATTTATTAATTAAAAAATTAATTGCTTTTATTATAAATGAATTGTTTGTGAAAACTACATGAACAGAAAGTTTTTAGTATAATGTGTTCACAATTGAATTGATAACATATTCAAAGATTTAGTATTTTTCAAAACTATTGAATATTAAGTGAAAAACAAGGAATTAATGGAGTAATCAATTAAAGGGAATTAATTTATACTAATGTTTGTGATTCACACGATTTGAATTTATTAAAAGCGATTGTCTTATCTTTAGGTAATGTTTTTAAATTAGTATTACTTATGAAGTGTTAGTGTGTCTAATAATTTGACGAATGAATGAATTGACTGCTAAAACAACATGTAATTGTCTTTTATTTAACTATAAACCCAATAATCTCTTGTCGTAGGATTAAGCTATCAATTGTGGGCTTTTTATAAGTGTCACACCAATGATAAGAATTACACAACTATTTGTTTTATTCAATATATTTATCACAAATTTATCCAAAAGTATTAATTGGAATCGAAAAGTCGCCAACTTTTGTAGGAGATGTCATCCATCAGTAATACATGGATTGGTCTGTTTCCTGACGTGAGTCTAACTGTAAGAGTAAATCAGTGTAAAAATGTTTTAGTTCTTCATTTGTTGAAATGGATAGCATTTGTGTGACCACTGGTGTGAACGAACAAACGGCCGCTACTTTACAATGGCTGCAGCAATACTTCTACGGCCGCTCCAGTGTTTCCATATCCCGATCCTCTATGTATTCAATGTACGCAACATTCTGTCAACAGAATAACTATCGGCCCGTATGTAAGGCAACGTTTGGCAAAGTAACCCAACATTCATTCTTCACTCCATCTCAAAACTAATTTGATTTTTCTGTTTAGTTAATTAGAATCCAATTTCCTTTCGTCACATCCAAGCGTTTGGGTGCGAGAGGACAGTCTAAATACCATGTAATTGTCATTTCTTGTTTCAATCTATCTTTACATTTATATGTGTTTTCAATGATAATGCTGTTTAGGTTTAGGTTTAGTAACTTTCATTACAATATATTTTTAATGCAATTAAAATTATTTACATCACAAGTATTACGGAATTGCACTCAAAGATAACTCTCAATTGACAAGTAATAGTGACTGTGATTATGACAAACCTGTGACCAGATTCTCGCGAAACGCTCGACTCCTTAACCCTAACGACTATCACGCGATTCTTCATTCAATGGTTTCGGTCACAGAATCGCCGCAATCATCTCCTCTTGAAGTAATTTACCTCAATTTGTGCCTAAAATTCTATTTTTAATTATTACAATAATATTGAAAACTTGTTAAATATTCTAACTATATATTTAGGACGAGAAACTGGTATTCATAAACATTTATAAGATTCACTGCCAATGTATTCTCGATTCTGCTTTAAGTCAAAACTATTCACAAGTATGTCATAAAAATTGTCGACAAAATTATAATGTTTTATATAATTGTAAAACAGATGAGACATTATGTAATTCATTTCTGGCATCAACTGCCAAATCACGTCCAAATCGACTTAGAAGTGCTTAAGAGTTTGGATCTTAATCTCTATTCTACACTCGAAGACATATACCTAAGACTCGATGCAAGTCTGGATCAATTGAGACACTTATACGCCATCGCATCACTCAATCCCTTATGGTTGAGGAAAGCGTTGGAGAATTACAGCAATAAATCGGTCTCTCGTTTGAAATTAGATGAATCTTTGAAATGGAAATATAGAGTGAAATCAAAGTTTCAATTCATTCACATCGCAAAGGTATCAAACATAACAATCTCTTCGTTAATTCAATCCAATGGTTACCATAGTTTGCTTCAATTGCTTTCAGTCATTAGACTTAACACAAATCCATTGCTCAGTGAATGCGCTGCGAGAACTCAATTACGAAGACCTATATCTAATCAATGACAACATAATGGAGTCGTTTATGTATTTATTGAATCAAATCAGTAGCAAAAGTCCGACTCTCGACAACATTATTGAGTCAATTGACGATATGATCAAAAAATATGGCAAACTATTTAGTAAAGAGCTGGTCATGCAATTGAGTCAAACCCATTCATATGCTCTCAAATTATTAACACAAATGCAATCCCAAAGATTTGGTAAGGAATCGCTTCTCTCTTAACTTCACTATTAATGCATTTATTTATTAGTTTCGTGTCATATATTCATGACTTTTCTCATCGATTATTTGCTCGAAGTTTGTCCGAAATAATCAATTTTACACAACTTTATCCATAATGTGAATTAATTGTGCATTTCTTTAACTCTTAACACAACTGTAAACTGTGAACACAATTTCGTAGACATAATAAAACATAAAAAATATTTTTTGCGTTTATTTAGTTATTAAATTCATACTTAAATAGTAACACATTTTTGTAATTATAATAAATTGATTTATATTTAAAACACGTTAAGAATTGACTACAAAACAGGTAATTTTTGTTTACAATAACGAGTGGTTTTAGATTTTGGTTAAAATAATTTTCTCGTTATCAGTGAGATGTGCGGCAAAATCGTTCAAAAAGGGCAAACTCTTGAATTCGCGCAAAACTCCGTTCAAGTATTCCTCTAAATTCAGTT